GACTAGGTGCGTTCTACATGGTCTCCCTGAAAACAAGACCAAGTTGCGACAACGAGGTCAACCCAGTTCTATCAATCGAAAGGAGACTGAGACCACACCAAAGACCACAACATCTTGGTCTTCATTTATTCAATTAAAATCCTGGTAGTTTTTTTTCTACGCCTTACTTTGCGATCTTAATGAAGCACCCCGTGATTTGGTTGGCTACTTGAACCTTACTCTACATGCTTGCAATTGAGTGAAGTTACTTCCCGAATCGGAAGTGCGTTCAGTGGCAACTATATATATATCTATATATAATAAGGAAAAAAAGTCTTAAATAATCTCTTAATGGGTTGATGCGACTCGAATTTTCTTTTTGAAAGAAATATTGCTTGAAAAGGAATCATAAATTGACCTCATCGGAGACCGAAAGGGGACTGCCGGATTGCACCTCACTTTCATTTCGGATGAAAGGGCACAATAAAGAGGTTCGTTAGATGGTATTACCGGAAGACAATGTCGGATTACCGTCTTTCTGCTGCAATTTATCTTTAATTTGAAGTTCATGTCAGCACAGACCACGCGACATTATCCATAGTTTCGGGTGAAAAGGATGATAAAGTAAAGATCTGCCCCATTTCACTTGAAACTCGGGAGGATGTCTCGCCTATTGCTTCAATCTGAACATGGTATTAAAGCCAAATGGTTGCATTTTTCTACCGATGAGATCGACCTTCGAAGCTACCTTTCATGCACTTTCATGCGACATTGAAGTGTCCTCAACAAACTCAATGAAGTAGCCTATACGCGGGCAATACTCATGCTTGAGGATGCACTACTCATGTGCTAGTTGACAATCTAAAGCTGCGGCCAGACTCTCTTCCCCCTTTAGACGGTCGGATTGTTTGCGCCTCAGTTGGGTTAGGCTGTCGTAGACTCTCACTCACCCGATCCATCCTGCGGACTCGACCAGTCTGGACCTTCGACATGTTTCGTTCGGTCCTGCTCGACCGGTCTCTTCCCATCCGACAGGAGGGGTCGAGCAGACGGTAGCAGAAGCGCCAGAGCCCAGTCGGCCAACAGACCAACCGGCGCCTGACTCAGCTGGGCCCAACTGAGTCTGGCGGCGTCGGTCAGGCCGACATGCTCTTGCCCCTCCGTCCAGGGGCTGGAGGCTTCTGTCGTCTCTCGTCTCGCGGTCTCGCTCGTCGCCGTGTTGGGCCCAGACGCCCTGTCGACCGAGTCCCCTTTGACGCCCAACAACCGGGAGGCCCGCATCGAGTCCAACCTCGAGGCGGCCAGGCTCCAGGCCAGGGTAGAAGCCAGCGCTCTGACGGGGGTTTGAGGCTGGGCAGAGGTCAGGACCTGCGGCGGCGCTGGTGCTGGTGATGGTGGTAATGGTGGTGGTGGTGGTGGTTGTTGTTGC